ATGACGACTGAAAACGGACACGAATAACGCAAACACAAAGCAGGCACTTCAATAATTCGCACAAAGGGAGCCACAGACAGACAGACAGATGGACTGACAGACTGACTGACTGACAGACAGACGGATGGACAGATGGACAGACCGAATGGGCATATGTCATGCAAATAGAAACAAACCCTCAAGTATGGGCACTATGAAAACTATCGACCCAAGACTTCCCCTCTCAATATATGTATATATATATTTTTGTTATTTGTTTACGCTTGTTTAATGTGTTGCAAAGCATACGCCGTGTTGACCAGCCCCAACGTGTGGCATTGACTTAGTTAGGGTTGAATTTCTGCCGTTTCTAGGGGTTGGTTGAGGCGCCTTTCATGCGGCTCGGGTGGTTGCATGCAATGGATTTGTTGCCCAGGCAACCGCCATAACAAAAAACCAAATGCAAGCTCAAAACATAAGACAATAAATACTTTTCAGTCAAAGGTCCTTGTGGTTTGCAGTGGCACGTGTTAAGTGTGATGTAAATGTGTTCATCGGTAATGGAAATCACATAAATATATGTAGAAAATTCGGTTTATTTCAATAAGTAAGTTAAGTTTAATTTACTGCAGAATTAGCCAAAGTAGTGCTGGTTTTTTACAATTTAAACATCCCTTTTTCACCCATTTTCCACCCGTCCAAAAATACTATATAAAGCCTTTAAAATACTTTTTAAAAAAGTTTACGATATCTTAAATGAAAATATTAAATGTCAATCAGGAGATTGTGTTTGATGTATATTGATAACATGCTCTGTTAATGTTAACAATGTTAACAGATTAAGTTTCCAATCAGAGACACGCTCGTTAATGTTAACTCTGTTAACAGCTTTACTTTTCAAAAGGAGACTTGATCTTTTAATGTTATCATTGTTAACAGATTTAGTTTGCAATTAGAAACATGTTCTGTTAAGGTTAACAGCATTACTTTTCAGTTAGATACATGCTCTGTTAATGTTAACTCTGTCAACAAATTCACTTTTCAGTTGAAGACACGCTCTGCTAATTTTAACATTGTTAACAGCTTTATTTTTAAATTAGAGGCCTTTCAATCTGCGGTTATTAATAATCGATTAAAGTTAGTTTCTTAAGCTTAAGCGTTTAGTTTTCCCCTTCCGTAATACACACACAAAAACAAAAGAAAAAATAAAACAAATGGAATTCATTATCAGCCAATTTGGTGGCTCATTAAAAACGCTTCTTAAGATCGTGACGAAATTTTCACTAAATCTTTTCTCGAGACAGTTCATTAGTTTGCCGCCGAAATAGTCAAAGCGACTAAAAACAAAAGGCCGCATAGAAAAAGAAAAGTAAACTTTCACATTTCTAATGGGTTGCCTCTTCTTCTTCTTTCTCTTTAGCTACGCATAAATATCTACATAAATTCTCATTGAATTAATTTCTAGAAATTTCAATGCATTTATCGTTTATCGCTTTGGTGAATAATTCCAATTTATCGCGCCGCGTCTTCCGCATTCATTCGCATTCAGCAGCAGCTTATCGGGCCATTTCTTCTTCTTCTGTCTTAGCCATTGCGTGTCCAATCGACGGTTCTACTCGAACAATGATAACTGTCATTGGCCAGACATTAGGCTAGCTGCAGCTAGCTGTTTGAGTTGGGCTTTTGTTGTAGTTGTGTTTATTAACTTTGTCACTTTCACCTAAACGTGAATTTGTCAATGCAGCTAACTGTAAAAATCTCACTAAAATTATGACCAGTTTTTTTTTTTATATTGCAAACGGATGTCTCAATAAATATAAGCCAACTTGCGTCTGTTTATGGGCCCAGCTGGCAGTGCATCTTTTCGAAAGGCATTTCCATGCAACTGACAAATGCAAATGCATTGCTATGAAATAAATTAGCCCAAAGTTAGAGGAGTCGACCAGCAGATACCCTGTAGGCCGTTAAAATATGACAGCATGTAGTCAGATATTACAGTCAGAGATAACAGTTCTATATATTTAAATGCGATGAGAATACGTATATATATTTATGCATGTATGTATATGTGATTCTTGTGGGAAAACTTGCCATATAAATATCAAAATATTGGTATGCAAAAGGAGGCAAGTTTTACCCTAAGAATTAAATATACATACACAAATATATATACTTATATTTTAATTTAGATTATAATAGGCAAAATGATGTAACTTTTGCCCCTTTAAAGTTGCTTCAAAATATAGTTACTGGTTCGAACCTCTAGCTCTAGTTTGAGCTGAATAAACTGTATGGATCACGACTGATTCGGCTCAAGAACCAGTTCTCGAACTAGTTCGGCGCACAGCGAACTTGTTGCCTTGACATTTGCACGTATATGCCATATAATTGATCAATCCAGAAATGTCAGCTCTCCAACTTAACCTCGACGTAAGCATGGCCTACTGTTTGGCTACTCAAATAGTTACAGGGTATTTAAATATATAAAAAAGGTGTCACAGCTGCAGGTGCAGCTCTCCATATGGAGTGAGAGTCGCCTCAGAGATTTGCCAGACTTTTGTTTTCATTCCCATAACTTGATGCATGCGCATTGTTTACATTTTCCATTTTCGTTTATCGCCGCACTTTTAAATATGCAAAGCATTTTGTTGTCGCTTTTGTTGCTTCTGTTTCATTGTGTATTGGCCGGGCCAAAAAGTTGTTAACCTGGCCTTAGTTTTCAGCCGTGTGACATTGGCGTCTCGCGTTCGAAAATGGCATCGACTAACGCTTAAAAATCAATTTAAATGCGACGCGCCTTCAAAGATTTATAAACTAATTCAATTTCAGTTGATTTTGCATGCAAATTCGAATTAATTTTGGTGTCTTTTCTGGCCAATGCAAATTTATAGACACAATTTCATCAGATCTTCGAAATTCCCAGGCGAAGATCTGTGTATGTATTTGTATATGCATATGTATATGTATGTGTGTATGTATATGTATATGTATATGTATATGTATATGTATATGTATATGTATATGTATATGTATATGTATATGTATATGTATATGTATATGTATATGTATATGTATATGTATATGTATATGTATATGTATATGTATGTGTATATGTGCATGTATGTGGACAGGCATGGGAATACACACAGTTAATTTGTCTATGAAATTTTCATAAAATATTTATTTATTTTCGCACTCAATAAACGTGATATTTGATGTCAAATAGGTTTTTCTATAGGCCCAAATGAAGCCGGCAAAATGGAAAATGTGGCTAATAAACGTTTGCGTAATCAACAATTTTAGCTTCTTATTTACATTGCAAGTGTGTACGTATGTGTGTGTGTGTGCCTGTGCCTGGCTCGTATTTAATATTTTGTTTAAATACCATTTGCCATAGCGCAAAATTATTTTGTTATTCGCAACGCGTTCATCGCAAGTGCTGACAAGCAGCTGGCATTGCCACACGAGAAAGGGATGAGAGGGGAGGGGAGCGGCGGCTGAGGGGTCTAACAGAAGCTACGACAACAGCTAACAAAAGCGGCTTAAAAAAAAAACAACTATTTTTACGACAGAGGAAAGAAATTTTGCTTTTTATGTAATCGCTCATTATAATTGGCATTTGTGTGTGACAAAAGCGTGCGCGGGCCGAGCCGCAGAGGCGGAGAGCCGCAGAGGTGGGCGGGGCAGTTACTGGCAACAACGTGTGCGGCAGTTGGGCAAGCATTTTATTACATTTTTTTCTATATATATATATATATTGTTAACTGCGCGCAGAGCTGTCGATAAGATCGAGTTGCCAAAAAAGCATATCACGCATACGCAATGTTGTGCGCGCACAGCGAGTGTGTACGAGTGTGTGTGAGTGTGTGTGCAACTAAAACCAGGTAAATGTGGCATAAGCTAGGCTTTGTTTGGTTCAACCAACGACAATGTAAAGACTTATAATTTATATAGTCTTGGGTTCAACTGTTGCCAAAAATTGCGCATACGCAGCGTTGTTTCATTCGCATTTGCAGGCAAATGACAATAAAAAAACAACTTCTTTACTGCCAATCTTCAAACTGTGGCTTTAAAACTGTATGAAATAAATATTTGTTTCAATTTGCTTGGTCCTTTTTATGCCAACTTTAAAGTTCTTAATTGGAGGAAGATTGGAAAAAGAATGTTTTTAGAGAAAAACCAATATCCGATTCTTTACTTTATAACAAGTAAGAACAGTATATCTGCGGCACGCCGAAGACGAAATACTCTTGCAAACATGCAAGAACATCATGAGAGAAATAATAATATTATTAAAATATTAGCATAATATTAAATGTGTTTTTTTATCAAGAAACTTCATACGTTTTTTTTAATAAACGTCTAGCTAATAATTAAATCTTAAATTGATTAATTTATTTACAAATTATGTGTTTAATTAGAGCTTAATTAATCATCATTTGTGAGCAGTAAAAAGGAAATCCAAAAAAAAATGATTCAATGATTCAATTAAAGCTTAATTAATCATTATTTGTAAAAAAAAAGATTATGTTTTGTTTAAATATATAATTAAATATATATAGAAATATAAAAATATTTCTCAAACGCATTTAACAACAATAATATCTTATCTTCTCGTGGCTTATTCATAATAAATTTCTTTTTAATTTTACTCAGCCTTCGATTGTTATTATCTTTTATCAATATTTATAGGCCACTTATTAAAGCGCTTCTGTGTTTAATCCCAACTTGTTTTTTCTTGCGTTGGCTGTTTGAACAGCCAAGTGGCTCACTTCCTGCCGCATCTGTTCCATTTGAGCCTGCCTCGCCGCATTGTGTGCACAAAGCATACCACGTTAATTGCCGCGCAGCCTCCCCCCAACGTCCCCCTTCGAGCCATCTTTATGCTTGAGCCCCACATAATTTGCATACGTGAAGAGTTTGGCCACTCGATTTGGAGATATTTCAACGATTTTCATGCGCTTTCTCCCTGCAGCTGCTGTCTCGCTTTAACTAATGCTCTCTCCCTCTCTCTCTCTCAGGCCTCGAGGCGGCAGCTTCCATGTGAATTGGCCATTGGTCGCCGGCCAAGACAGACATAATCACAGCCATGCAGTTGTCAGCGGACGTCATGGCGACCTCATCTGGTGCGAATCTCGACGCGGCAGCAGCTCGCTGCGATCTCAATGGAAATGCAACAACAACAACAACAACAATAAAGACGTCGTCGACGTCGCCGCGTAAAGAAAAGACAATACTCGGTTGGCTGGTGAAAAGTGCAAGTGCGAACGATAAATCGAACGTTAACGATAACGATAACGATAGACATAACGATAACAACAATCGAGGCAACAACAACAACAGTTGCCACTGTGAAACGCGCGCTTTTCGCGATTTCCGCGGCGTCCAAACGCTGCGTCTGCTCTGGAGCAAGCGCATCAGCAGCGCCAGCGAGGAGGCAGCCGCCGCCCATCAACAGCAACGGGGTCAGGTGCAGGGGCTGGGCACGTTGCGGAAGCTGAACAAGTCGGTTAGCTGTTTGGTGAATGCGTTTAATAACGCGCGCGATTGGCCCAGCCTGACAAACGCGCATGAAACGCGCGCAAAACGCGCCGCTAGCTTGCACAATCTGCAAGAGCCGCCGCCGTTGACGTCACCGCAACTCCAACGTGACAAAGATAATTTCTACAAGTACAAAAACGCCGAACAGGCCAAAATGCAAAATAAGCTGCGACGCGGCAGCGACGCGACTGCAAACGCGAGCGCGACTTTTCCCGCAGTAAAGGCGGGCGGCGCGCCGGGCGAGCGTTTGCAGTGGCCAAAACGTGAGGACATCGTGAGCAAGTGCAAAACGGAGCGCGAGCGCAGTCTATCAGATAATGAGCATGACTGCGAGCGGGAGAGGGAGCGGGAGCGGGAGCAGGTGAATCTTATCAGCGCTGGACGTGAGCAGGCAGCAGCAGCAGCAGCGGGAACGTCGGCGATTCGCATTAGTTTGAGCGCGACGAGCTTCGATGGCGGCAGCTGCGAGTCGCTGCAGACGGTGAATTCCATAAATTCCAATACCACGACGAGCACGGCCGCGACTGTGACGTCACGCGCTGCGGGCACGCGTCGCAAATACAGCTTCAAAACACATGCGGGCAAATCATTCCATCAGCATCACACGCCGCGCCGCATGTCCAGCCACAGCCACAGTCACAGTCACAGCCAGGCCGCAGAGTCAGGCCACGCCTCCGCCTCTGGCTCGGCGTCGGGCGTGGTGCGCCAGCTGACGCAGCAGTTCAATGAGATCATACAGAAGGATGCCCGCCTGCTGGAGCAGGTGAAGCGCAAGAATGGCGTCTGGCTGGCGCGTGGCGCCCATGTCTACAAGATCGTGGAGAAGCCAGCCGTGCAGCAGGTCCAATCGGAGCAGGTGCAATCGGAGCACTCGGAGCAATCGGTGCGCAGTTCCATGGTGCAGCGCAACATCAAGAAGTTCGAGAAGCTGGAGAAGCCAGCGGTGCCGCTCAAGCCGCAGCAGCTGCTGCGCAAGCATCAGGAGCAAATGAACCAAAGGCCCAGCACGCTCAGCCTCAGCAAGCAGATGCGCAGCAAGCGCGCCCGCAGCCAGCAGCAGCAGCGCGAGCAGCGGGAGCAAAAGGAACAGGAGCTGGCGGTGGTGCGCGAGGAGCTGCCCAAGACTCCGGTGGAGCTGCATGCCAGCACGGACGAAGGTGTGCAATCGGATGTGGACGTGGATGATGCTACAAAACCAAAGCACGCTGACTCAGCGCTGACTCAGACGCTGCCCGCCGACGATGAGCTGGATGATGCGGACAGCGCGGCGGCGGCAGAGGAGCGGCAGAAGCAGCGCAAGCACAAATATGCGACGATCTACGAGAAGCTGCGCTTCCTGCCCTTCGCCAAAGGCGGCAAGAAATCCGCAACGCCTTCACCCATCAAAACAACAGCAGCAGCAACATCTGAGCAGAAGGATCCGGAGCAGGAACCGGAGCCGCTGCCGTCGCCCTGCGTGGAGGCGGATGCCAAGATCCTGGCCGCACTCGAGGTGCTCGACCAGAAGCTGAAAATACTCGCGGAGCCGCCGGCCAAAACGGCGGACGGGGAACTGCTGCTGGCGGCCAACGATGACTTCGAGCAGCGCCTGCTGCCCAACAGCTCGTTCATCTACCAGGCGTCCAACAAGCAGATCTCCAACAACCAGCTGCTGCTCAACCAGGCGGTGAACGTGACCCTGGTGAATGCCATTGAGGGCGAGCAGATGATCATGGAGCAGAAACAACTGGCCGCCGAGGAAGGGCAGCAGCAGCAGCTGGAGCAGCAGTCGAGGCGGCAGCTGCAGGCCGAGCCGGAGGAGGAGGAGCCCATGTATGAGCCCATCACGCCCACAATGGAGACCAAGACTGAGCCGCAGGCTTCGAGCCTGTTTAAGTTAACAAGCCAAATGCTTAAGGAGCCGGACGCACTCCAGCTCCCAGTGGAGGACATCTATCAAACTGTGGAGGAGGCAACAGCTGCGCCAGCAACGACAACTCCGGCCACGCCCACAGCCAATGGCAACTGGCTGGAGGGCTACGAGTCCATAGCGGGCTCCACGCGGAACAGCAACAGCGATGACTACGAAGCCTTTGCCACGCCCACAACAACACCAACAACAACAACAACATTGAGCACTGGCACACTGGGCCGCAATACGCGCGATGAGCTGCCGGAGCTGCCCAAGCCGAAGCGCGTGCTGCCCAAGTCGCCCCTAATCATGCGACCCGCGCCCGCCAAGCCCGCACAGCCCAGCCGCTTGGCTGGCAAGCCGTGCGCCGGGCCCGCCTCCACGGACGAGGATGACGAGAACATCTATGACACCATCAAGGGCTGCACGGACGCCATATCTTTGAGCTCCAATTGCTACGAGAGCATCTCCAACTATCGCAAGAGCAAGAACTCAGCTGCAATTGGAGCGGTTGAGGGCGTGGCAGCGGGCGGGGGCGTGGTTGCGGGCGCAACTGCGTCCGGCGTGCAGCTGTCCAGCAGCGGCTCCACGCTGACGCTCGCCTCGGATCATCGCACGAACAGTCTCTATGAATCCTCGCTAGCTGCAGGCGTGCTCTACGGCAGCGCCAGCGTCGGCTGCCGCAGCTCCTTGGCCAGCAGCGGCGCAGGCAGCGCCGGCAGCAGCGGCAGCGGCGGCGTTGGCGGAGGGGCGGGCAAACAGTGCGACAAACGCTCCTCGATAGCCGGCTCCAGCGACAACAGCGATGCCTGGGTGGACATATCCGACGGGGAGGCGACGCCAGCAACGGCGGCTGTCACCAGCGAGGCGCAGTTCGTTGTGTAAGTAAAGGGGTGGTGGGGGGAGGGGGCTGCGATAAGAATTTCTGCGTAGATTGCTGATAAGGTTTGTTTGGATTTGGCTTATCTTATCGGCAACTGCGGCTTGTTGGCAATCGCATTCAATTTGCTGTCGGGCTGCACGCCGAGGGTTGCCCGAAGATTGCGACACGCTTCGCATTTCCAGAAAATATTATAATAAAAATGCATAAATAAATCATGCCAGGAAAGAAAGCGGGTCAAGGCAGCTGGAAGACAACGCAGAACTCGTTAAGCTCTTGACTTTTACGGCGGCTCAGCATATTGTAAATCGAATCAAAGTCGATTAATAGCCAAAGTGAAACGTAAAATCCAAACTAAATGCTCAACAGAATTCAGGCTAAGCTCCAATTGTTGTCAGTGCCGAGAGACCCTGAGCCGAGATCAGCCCGTTGATTGACTAACCTTTGCCCTAGTTGTGCAATTGCAATTCGTTTTTAAAATGCTTTTCCGTTTGCCTTCGTATATAGTCTGGCTGATAAGATACAAATCAATCGAGATTAGGTATATATAGAGAAGCCCATATATAAATTACGGATACAATCGGGCGAGTAAAACATCACAATTCTGAGTCATTTAGCATTCGATTGTCATAAAACCAAATTTAGTTTGAAAAGGAAATACCTTTCCCTGAAACTTTTATGATTAGTTGAATTCTCATTTGGGGTTAACTGATTAAAGGTAAAATATGTCAACTCAGTTGTAAATAGTTCAGCATCTAGAGCGCTTCTTCTTCTGTTCCACCTGGTTCTCCGTAGTGTCTCCTCCAGGGAAGCCCTCTCTTTTTCTCTATCTTGCTTTCTCAACCTCGCTCTTATTGGCCTTCTCTTATATTTAGAATTATCAATATCTGTATACATAAACTGAATTTATGAAAATCGCATAGAAAGGTAGCATTCCTTTTTACTCACTCTCTTTTTTAGCCTCCCATTCGATCCTTCTCACTTCCCTCTCTCTCTATATATATATATATTCAACCCTTTCTTTCCTTCACGCTTTCTGCTTCTCTCTCTTTATTACCATTTCTCTCTATCTCCATCTCTATATATCTCTCTTTTATCTCTCTTCCTCTCTCCCTCTCTCTCTCTCCCATTTTAACAGGGTATTTGCCTATCGAGTTCTCCTGATTTAAGCTCTCTAGCCCACATACACATCTCCCAGTAAATTAACTTCACCATTACAGAATTATGTTCCCATTTGTTCAATTATTTGGAAATTCAAGACAACATTTCTTAATAATTAACAAATTGTCCAGTCATGATAATTTCCAAAGTTTTCTTAACAGTTTCAGTGTTGTAAATGGCACAAAGTTATTCACATTTCGCCCAGTTCTTAGCTGACTAAATGAAATATAATTAAGACATTGCGACAGCAGAGCAAATGCAGCTTGTTGGCAGGCAACACACCCAACCACTCACGCCCCATATTAATTGACAGGTTGACCTACAATTCCATCTGTTATCAGTCGATAAGATTGGCCGCCTGCTTGGGCAACCCACTCGATATTGAGGGTCTCTAATAATAGAGAGCGAACTTCAAGAGAAGCCGAACCCCTTCGACAGACAGTCAGAAGTGAGGCGTCCAGGTCGGAAGACCTGACTTGATCGATGGCTATGAAGTACTAACGATAACTGTATAAACTAATTAAGTATTACGCTAAATATTCGTTTATTGATATTGGTTTTTATTCTGTTTAATTTATAGCGTACGGGAACGCTTCAAGCAGCATCGTGTTCGCAGCCCGGATTGGTCGAAACGCATCAGAGACAAAAGACTGCAACAAAACAAGGCGAAGAGCTGCATCGAGGGTAAGCTAAACAAATATGAATAAAAATAAGACTCATTGGGTTACACAATATCTGGATTAGATAGCGCACAGACAGCTCACAGTGCTGAATATAGATTTTTTCCCAGACTATGTGAGATCTAGACATACATATGCACGTAAATAGACATTGTCTTCTTAGTATACCCCATATCAACTGATTGAGCATTCAATGGGGTATATTGGTTGTGTGCAAATGCATGTAACAGGCAGTAGGAAGGAAGAAGAAAAGAAGCTGAGTCGATCCAGCTAACGGCACCTCCGCGCTCTGTATAGGGTATCTTCGAGTCGTCCACACTCGACTCTTTCATTTCTTGTGCTTCAACTAAATTTGCACAAAGAACATTTTGCTATATTCTTTGTTTATTTAGCTCTTCTTTGTTGCTCTATTTAAAAAGTTATTTACCTTGCCAAACGATTTCCTATATAAAAAAAATGTGCTGCAACCAAAATGAAAGCTTTTACATACAAAGACAGTTGAGCTTTTAAGTCGAGCTTGCAGCGCCTGCTGCGCGCTGGTTTGTGTCCGTGCTAAACTTGCGTACCACATGGAATCCACTTTGCAAACTTGACATTTAAATTGCTTTAATTATATTTATAATTAATGCTGTTTGGCTCCATCAGTGACACTTAATTTTGTTGATAAATGTGCGGTAATGATGCCCAAGTCAAGGTAGTTAAAAGTGTTGCCTTAGGCGCTGCGACCAAATGAAATGAAATGCCAAAAGTAAACAATGCCAAATGAAATGGAAATGAACAAGACACCGACAGCGACAGCGACGACGACGACGACGACGACGGCGACAAAGCTTACTGTTAATTATGCCCAATGCAAATGAGAGTAAACATAATAGCAACAACACTACACAACAACAGCCTGCAAATGAATGCGCACACGCACATACACACACAAGCACACAGATCATGTGAGTAAGCGCTGCGCGCACATTTCTCACACAAGCAGCGAAAATTGGAATTGCAATTGCAATTGGCGCCTGCCGCCTGCGCGCGACTGCAGCGCGCGACAGGTTCCACACAAGGCAACAACAAGTTGTGAGCGCGCGTAAACAATGCCCATAAACTGGACGGACGAGCTTATTGCCTTGTTGTTGCTGTGCAATTTTCATACCACAGCTGCCAGCAGCAACAGCAACTCTGTTGCTGTCTTTCACAGACACACACTCACTCGCAAAGTCACTCGCTCATCGGCCGAGTCTCTCTCTCTCCCAGCAGCTGCACAGTCTCTGCGCGTCAGTTCATACGTTCGGTTCGTCTCGCGGACGCTGCCTGTCGTAAAGTCGCCCAGCCGCAAGTTGAATTTATGTGTGTTAAATGTGAACAAACCTTAGCCAATATTTAACAATATTTTCATTAATATTGTTTGTTGCTTTTGATATGGTTATGCGTGCGCGCGCAACTAAGTGAAAAGTGAAAAGAAAAGCGCATAAAAAAAATGCATGCGGTGCATGCAAAATTAGCAGACGACCACACCGTCAGACGCCAGCGTCGACTGCGCAGCGGGCGTCGCAGCTAGTTTTGAATTATTGCACGCTGCTGTTGTTGTTGTTGTTGTTGTGGTTGTTGTTTTGTACTTTTATGCAAAGGCAGCGAGACGTCACGAACTAAAACCGAAATTGAACACAGCCCACCCGTTCGACCCCCCACCCGCTTGCCCTACGCCCGCAATGAGCGTCAACCTAAAGCTTCATGTTTCACCGTTATTGTTGTTGTTGTTGCTGTTGCTGCTTTGAGAGATGACGAAATTGTTAAGCGAAAACCAGTCTAGAAACACTATAAAGCGCACAACCTTGAAGAAGTTAAGAGCTGTTAAAAAAAAACACACACACACACAACGATGAACAGCTTAAGGAACTCGCAAACTATAAGCAATGCAATGACTGAGCGAAATACAAATAAAAAGAAATAGTAAATAGTAAAAAGTGGAATAGGCAAATGCAAACGCGTGCGAAATTGCAAAATCAAACGTAATCGTGTGCAATAATTATGTGTGTGCATCCAAAAGAGGAGCACATGAAAAAAATGTTCAAATATAAATGAAAATATCATCACATAAAGAGCTTTTGCAAAATGGCCGACGCAAAAAGTTCACTGAACGCTGGCAGCGCAGCGACGCAGCCAATTGGAAGTCAAATGCAACAGGCCCAAAACTGTTAAATGCATAAAACAACAATTTCAATTGTTAAGTGCGTAATTGGGTGAAAAGCCCGACCTCGCAATGTTAACTGTTAATTCTCAGCTCAACTTTTACCCAGGGCACGTTCGCTTTTTACCAGCACGCGAGGTTTTAAAACAAAAACAAAAAAAAGCGAAAGTGTCATGAAAAACTACACACAACCTTAAAGTACACACAATTGCACGCATTGGCGGAAAAGCCCGCAATGGAAATTGACGATTTTTCTTGTCTGAAAAGCTGGCACATACGTGAGAGCCGCAGATTAAGCCAAACGGTTTCTATCTGCGACTTTGATAACCGGCAGACAATGACATCGTTTGGCAATTAATAAGTTTAACCTCAATGCGTCAATCCATCAATCAATCACCCCCCGCCCCCCTTATCACTCCACACTGCACTGCCAGCACCCGGAACGGGGTTCAGCTGCATTTCGATTCGGCATTGGAATTGAAAATAATTAAAACTGTTTATAGCGCAGAGAGAGGGAGAGAGAGAGAGAGAGAGAGCGCGATAAAGTGCGAGATAAAGCGGCAAATGAACGCTTGTTGTGCACTTTGCCAAGGCTAAGAAATTGTATTCTTGTAATAAACAATTGTCTCGGATTCGCAATATTTGCAACGCACACACACACACACATGTGCACATAATTGTATCTGTAACTCGTCTAGACTCTAGACGCATGTGGCCCACACGCAAAAGCCAAAGAGTTGGCCAAAAAGGCCCAACAAAAGAGCCAAAAGCTACAGGCAACATTTCCGCATCACGCAATACACTGTGCAAAATAACACATAAGTTTGTTAACTGAAGCAAACAACAAACCGGAAAATCGAAAAAGTTACCTTATTGAAATGCGAATTTGTTCGGGAAAGTTTTGATATTAAGTACCCGACTGTTGAATAATTTACAAAATTAATTCCAGTTTTACGTGCACTTTACACAATTTTAGAAACATAAAAAAAAGCCTTGCCAAATTGGCCTTTAATGTTATGGCGATTTATTATGATTTGTGGTTAACTTTTTGGTTTTATTTGTAAGCCAAAAACAAAAAAAAAACAAAAAAATTGCGTCAAGTCAAAAAGCTTTAATTGTTATTTCAATTTTGTCGGTTTTCTTTATTTCATAATCTCCGCGTTCTCTTCTTTTCCCAGAGTGCCCAGCTCCACTTTTATACAAAAATACAGCTTATTCAACTTATGTTTTACAACACTAGAAGTTGTGGCTGTTGGCTTTTGAAAGTTGACATTAATTAACACTGTTTACAATATGTTAACGGTAAAAGTTAAATAGAATTTGACTGCAAGAGTTGTTAATCTTAAATTCGTATATCCTAAACAATTTTCGAGCTGTGCAGCTGCAAGATATTCCAGTTCTTAACTCAATTCTTGCTACTTCTTTTCGCACACTGTTTAAATGAGCAATCGAGTTAACCGCAAGATACATATATTTAATGTACAGCATTTCACAAAACCTTGCTGATTTTTTCGTTTTTTTTTTATAAAATTGGCTTGTGGCACATTCTGAAAGCGGGCAACAAGCTAAACAAGTTGCGTCCCACGCGCAACAAGTGTCGCTTTGGTCAGTCAACAAAAATATCGTGTTTCATTATGCTCCATACACATGTTCGTTCCCTCTCCCTCCCACTCTCACTCGCTCTCTATACACATGTATCTCCCTCTCCCTCTCCCTCTCCCTCTCTCTCTCTCTTTATATATGCCATTTTGAGCAGATCTCGCCTTATACGACAACTCTGTTTTATTATCTCTGTCGAACCGGTTCGCTTCGCTGCGTATACGTAATATACATGCGTGTGCATGCGCGTGTGTGTGTGTGTGTGCTCTGCTTTTATCTAGTCTGTCGCTTTTATTTGGGCGCCCCTTTGTGTGTGTGTGTGTTAATTACACACATTTGTACCTGCTGCTTCTGTTATTTTCGACTCTGTCTGCATTCGAGCGTGATTTTGTTTTCAAAAATTTGCGCTATTTTGCATGTCGCTGCGCAGTCAAAAATCGCGCATACGCCGCGTTTCATTCGTTTAGACAAAATAATATTGTGACACTTGAAAAACTCGCTTAATTAGCGAGGGTCGTTTATGGAGTTGCGGCAAGATGTGTATTTACGAAACTTGTATTTATCATGACTTTTTGGACTTCCTAAATTAGCTATAAACTTGGGTTTTTCTGTTAATCATTTAGCAAATGTTATTGCTTGTTTTATCACAAAACCTGAAAGCCAATTTGCCATTGTCATTTGCCGAAGCTTCTTTCCTTGAGTTAGAGCACGGCCAATGAAAGTTGAACGTAGTTGACACAGTCGAAATGCAAATAAGAGAATTCCAGAGTCGAGTTGTGTTCTACCCTGAACCCAGAGCTAGACATGGGACGCTTTGCTGTGCTTCCCCTTGCCCCTGCCTACGGTCTCCATAGTCCGATCTGACAGATCTCATCTGTGGCTCAGCTCAGTCTTTCGATCAAGAATATATATGTATACCCTATGGAGTCGGAAATGGTTTCAGGCTATAATAAAAATGCAGCAACATTTATTGTGTGGCACGTACTTAATTGCTTTTAATTGAAAACGAAGTTGCGGGTTCAAGAGTTCAGCGAACAGCAACAACAACAAGAGAGGCAACAACTTGAATGAATTCTTAGAAATCGTTTAGTGCAGTCGATAGGAGAACGTCCCAATTGAACGCTTAAAATATGCTGCGATGGCAACCAGCGGCAATCACAGTCAACGCCTCAGCTGCACGGGCAGCCTGAGCAGTAACAGCAGCCACGCCCACAGCAATGGGCTGCTGGTCACGTTGCCGCGCAAGCGACGGCCACGTGCCGCAGGCGAAGTAAGCGTCACGTGCCCGGCGAGCAGTGTCTACCTAAATGCCGAGCCAAGTGCGGAGCACAGTCCGAGCCAGGCTCCGCCCGAGCCGGAGCCCATCTATCAGAACGAGGCGGCGGCCATCAGTCAGCGGGCGCGGCAGCGTCAACGTCGCCTACCGCTGCATCAGAGCGTGCTGCGCGTCAGCTATGTGGAGCAGGGCAGAGAGTCCATGGTGGTCAGCAGCTTTGTAGGTTCGTTGGGGCAGCAGCAGGAGCTGAGAGGCCAGAGAGTTACCCTTGATATAAGCCTAATACCAATCTCGTCACATTTTGTTTCCACAGATGACTCGGATCACTATTACGAGACGCTGGCGCCGCTGGGCAACAAGCGGCACTCGACGCAGCTGTCGCCGGGTCAGCATCGGGTCTCGCAGCGGCGCGGCAAGCAGCATTCGGCGTCGGCGCAGGCGCTGGGCCAGCATCAGAGCAACTCGGATGACTACGACTCCTTCGAGACGGACAGCGATGAGCACACGGAGCCGGAGCAGCGCTTGCAACACGTAAGTGGAGCAGTCCAAGTGCAGCTCAGGACGTCGCAACTAATCTTCCGTTTCTTTGGCAGCACAATGACAGCGGCGTGGACATGCGCAATCATCGCCTGCCGGAGCCACCGGCGCCGCAGAACCAGGTGTATGCGATTGTGCGCAAATTCAAGGACTTCATCTCCAGCAAGAAGTCGCCCAAGAGCAGTCAGCAGAAGCTCTACGAGAACAGCAGCTCCGGCTCCCAGTTCTATGTGGAGTGTCGCAACAGGAGCAAGCAGGAGCAGTACGAGACCGCCGCCCGCTCGCTGAGCAACTCCGAGCGCAATCTGCTGGCCAGCCAGAGCCCCCAGGAGCAGCAGCTACAGCAGCCCGCCTCGGCTGGCAGCCTGCTGCGAGCCAAGCCAAAGAATGGCAAGAGCCTGCGCTCGCGGCTGCGCAAGAGCCTGGTGGGCAACTCCTTCGATACCAAACAGCTGTCGGCGCTGACGCCGACGCGCAGCACCTTCTACATCGAGGATCCGCCGTCGCAGCAGCAGCTGCTGGCGCTGCAGCAGGCGCAGCACGGCTCCGGCGAGCTGGACTCGGGCTTCTCGGAGAAGGCCTCCTCCGGCGACCTGCCCGTCGTGCTGCCTGCGCCGCACGACGACGTCGAGGCGCACAAGTTCTCGACGGTTGCACGCAAAACCAAAAAGGAGGCCAAGGCCCTCCGGCGCCGCACCACAATTGGCGTGCGTCCACACGAGCCGCCCCCGCCGCCGCCAGCGGCAGTCGAGCTGCGCGGCAACAGAACGCAACAGGATGCACATTCACCCACCTCCTGGTATGCCGAATGCGGCGTCTTCAAGCAGTCAACATCTACAACAACAACAGCATCAACAACTGAGCTGACCACGCCCACGCCCAGTGCCAATGGCGGCGGCAGCAGCTCGTGGTATGCCGAGTCAGGTCTCTACCAGACCAGCGGCATATCAGTGGCCAGTTCGAGCGGCAGCTCCGGCGTCTCCACGGGCAACGAGGCGGGCCTGGGCGATGAGCTGCAGCCGCACAGTTTGTTCGACAACGAGCCCCTCTACCAGGTCTACAGCGCCGCCAAGCTGGAGGTGAGTGTGTTCCGTTGCTGCCCCAAAGAAGCCCTACTCTAATTTGTTCTCCTCTTGCAGTCCATTACGCGCGACCTGGAGGCACAGGAGGGCTCCACGGATGGCTACGAGGAGATTGGCCACACCAAGGCACAGCCGACGCAGCGGAAGGCGCGTCCCAGCGCTCTGCAGCTGGTCGAGCCCAAGAATGGGCCATCCCGCACGCTCTGGAGCGAAATACCCGAGGTCATCCATTCCTGCATCTTGCGTAAGTAGCTGAAATGTTATCCCAACTGGTTCCTATAGCTTCTTGCTTGCAGCTACGTTGACGCCCCGGGAGCGCGGCCTGCAGGAGGCCAAGTTCGAGATCATGACGTCTGAGGCGAGCTACCTGAAATCCCTGAATCTGCTGCGTCGCCATTTCATGAACAATGCCGCCTTCTGCGACAGCTCCGTGCTGAGCACGCGCGACCGCAAGGCGCTCTTCTCCTACATTGTGCCCGTGCACGAGTGCTCGGAGCGTCTGCTCACCGAGCTGGAGTGCTGCTGGCAGAACAACATCATGCTGCTGGGGCTGAGCCGCTGCATCTACGAGATTGCCGAGCGGCATTTCCATGTGTACATCACGTTCTGCGAGCACCAGGGCCGCATGGATCGCACGCTGCGTCGCCTCAAGGAGGCGAAGAGCGGCGCCTTCCAGCAGCAGCTGGAGAAGCTCGAAGCCAGCCCCAGCTGCTGTGGTCTCAATCTGCACTCGTTCCTCATGCTGCCTATGCAGCGAATCACGCGGCTGCCACTGCTCATCGATGCCGTGTTCAGCAAGGAGTCACCGCACAATGCCGACGAGTACGAGAGCTGGAAGCTGACGCTGGCGCTCGTCCAGAAGATCGTTGCGCAGTGCAACGAGGCGGCCAATCGCTGTGAGCAGGCCTACGAATTGGAGCGTATTTCCAAGCAGCTCGAGTTCCCCACCCATATACGCGCCCTGGCCATAGCGCCGATGGGCGTGCCCAAGCAGGGCGCCAAACCGCGTTTCCTGGTCAAACGGGGCGAGCTGACGCATCTCATGTGGCGCGGCGACGATGCCAAGCTGACGTTCGGCAAACGCTTCACCAAGTCTAGCATCTATGCGTTCCTCTTTTCCGACCTGCTGGTGCTCTGCAAGCGCAAGGGCGAGTCTAACTTCACGGTGTTCGACTACTGCCCCCGCAGCATGCTGACCCTGGCGTCGGGCGACTCACTGCCCCAGCTGCCCACCAAAGACATCAAGGATCCGACTAGTAAAAATCTCATGCTGATGACGCTGCTGGAGAACCACGAACGCAAGACCATAGAACTTGTAAGAGTCCCGAATGCGCTTCCTCCAAACTAAACATAAACTAATGCGAATTCCTTTTATCTTTGTCCAGGTGCTGTCCTGTCCGTCGGTATCCGATCAGCAGCGCTGGCTGGAGGCCATGCGTCCACCGGAGGCGGAAACGCCTGGCGAGAAATTGTACGAGTCCTGGGACTGTCCGCAGGTCATTGCCAAGCACAGCTACGAATCTGATGAGCCAGATGTGCTACAGCTGGAGCTGGGCGACGTGGTAAACGTCTCACGCAAGCTGCCTGATGGTGAGTCTGCTCCCCTTTCGTACTCTTTCATAGATTCCAATAATGTTTTCCCCTTTTTCTGTTAACCAGGCTGGTACCAGGGCGAACGCATCAGGGACGGCGCCGTCGGCTGGTTCCCCGGCAGCTACACGGAGGAGCTGAACTCGTCCCATGTACGCGCCCGCAATCTGAAGCAGCGCCATCGCCTGCTCACCTTTACCGCCACCTACCTGGAGGCGCAAAAGGGCAAATGATTCTCGACTCCGCCATCTCCCAACCGGCCACTCATAGTTGGCCGAGTATTCAAATATTATAGTCCATCAAAAGATATAATTTGTATAAGTACATATATACAACAATTTAGGAAATGTGATAATTAATTAATTATGTATTTGTTTAAAGGCAAACAAAGAAAATCATAAACAATTGCTGCCCCTATCTATATATATATATATTATGTGCACTAGTTGTAAACAATTCAAACGCAATCGGTATATTTATGCATGCTAGTTATGTGAATTGCAATTATATATAAATGCATGTTACAAAATAAAATAAAATATAATAACTATAGATTGGCCTGAAAGTATTCAACAAAATATTTCAAATCCGCAAGCTAAAAGCATGCTACGAAATCTTTTGTTTTTTAAAACTTGAAGAACTTGGCCATATCTTGGCCAAATGATGTCCGATCTTGAAAAGATTAGCATTTTCGGACTCGTGGAACACCGTAGAATCAATTAGCATCCAAGTTTTTCAAATTCGGAAGAAATCACATTTTTAGCTAAAAACGTGATGTAACCCCTTGCCATTCTGACGAAATCTGGTCAAATCTTAGAATGCGGATTTTTGGTTGCCAATCGATAGTCGGGATCTGTACGAGTCCAACAAGTCATATCATTCCGAAATCGGACTTAATTTACCCGAGATATTCGAGTTTTAAAAATTTTCAAAAACTAAAAATGGCCATATCTTGGCCAAATGAAGTCCGATCTTGAAAAGATTACCATTTTCGGACTCGTGGAGCTCCGTAGAATCAATTAGCATCCAAGTTTTTCAAATTCGGAAGAAATCACATTTTTAGCTAAAAACGTGATGTAACCCCTTGCCATTTTGACGAAATCTGGTCAAATCTTAGAATGCGGATTTTTGGTTGCCAATCGATAGTCGGGATCTGTACGAGTCCAACAAGTCATATCATTCCGAAATCGGACTTAATTTACCCGAGATATTCGAGTTTTAAAAATTTTCAAAAAATAAAAATGGCCATATCTTGGCCAAATGAAGTCCGATCTTGAAAAGATTAGCATTTTCGGACTCGTGGAGCTCCGTAGAATCAATTAGCATCCAAGTTTTTCAAATTCGGAAGAAATCACATTTTTAGCTAAAAACGTGATGTAACCCCTTGCCATTTTGACGAAATCTGGTCAAATCTTAGAATGCGGATTTTTGGTTGCCAATCGATAGTCGGGATCTGTACGAGTCCAACAAGCCATATCATTCCGAAATCGGACTTAATTTACCCGAGATATTCGAGTTTTAAAAATTTTCAAAAACTAAAAATGGCCATATCTTGGCCAAATGAAGTCCGATCTTGAAAAGATTAGCATTTTCGGACTCGTGGAGCTCCGTAGAATCAATTAGCATCCAAGTTTTTCAAATTCGGAAGAAATCACATTTTTAGCTAAAAACGTGATGTAACCCCTTGCCATTCTGACGAAATCTGGTCAAATCTTAGAATGCGGATTTTTGGTTGCCAATCGATAGTCGGGATCTGTACGAGTCCAACAAGTCATATCATTCCGAAATCGGACTTAATTTACCCGAGATATTCGAGTTTTAAAAATTTTCAAAAACTAAAAATGGCCATATCTTGGCCAAATGAAGTCCGATCTTGAAAAGATTACCATTTTCGGACTCGTGGAGCTCCGTAGAATCAATTAGCATCCAAGTTTTTCAAATTCGGAAGAAATCACATTTTTAGCTAAAAACGTGATGTAACCCCTTGCCATTTTGACGAAATCTGGTCAAATCTTAGAATGCGGATTTTTGGTTGCCAATCGATAGTCGGGATCTGTACGAGTCCAACAAGCCATATCATTCCGAAATCGGACTTAATTTACCCGAGATATTCGAGTTTTAAAAATTTTCAAAAACTAAAAATGGCCATATCTTGGCCAAATGAAGTCCGATCTTGAAAAGATTACCATTTTCGGACTCGTGGAGCTCCGTAGAATCAATTAGAATCCAAGTTTTTCAAATTCGGAAGAAATCACATTTTTAGCTAAAAACGTGATGTAACCCCTTGCCATTTTGACGAAATCTGGTCAAATCTTAGAATGCGGATTTTTGGTTGCCAATCGATAGTCGGGATCTGAACGAGTCCAACAAGCCATATCATTCCGAAATCGGACTTAATTTACCCGAGATATTCGAGTTTTAAGATTTTTGAAGGCCGATTTTAGAGAGATTCGGTTTTTTGGACTCGTTTTTACCATTTAAAGGAACGCACAATATTTGTTTTTTGATTTTACAGTTTTTATGCGACCTTATGAATTGCTTGGGTATACATGTGTTTATGTACGTGTAGTTAATCCTCGAATGCTAACCCGATGCTCCCCTACTTTACTCAGTATAAACTAACGTATACGTAGTGTATGGTGAACAATATAATTAAATCAATTAATAGATTATTGCTGTCATAAATTATTAAATCTAATGCAAACACTACGAGTAGCTCGAGCACATGATACAATGGTCGATCGATCGATAGCAGCCTCGAGTGCTACTAAATCGTGCACACAATCATGCTAACTAAATCTAAATCAAATAATTTACAATACTTCTTCATGTGACTGCGATGAGTGGGTTCCCTAAATTAAATCGTTGTATGATGGTCGGGTATATAATTATAAATGTTAATATTAATGCCATAATAGATGACAGGTGCGACTTCTATAGAGTATGAGTGTTTGTTTGTTTAATTGTTTGTTATGTTAAGCTGCCGTATGCCCTAACTAACGTAACCTGCTTTTACTACACGCTATTATTCATATAAATAGATATATATATATATCACAAAGTCAGTGAAATGAAAATTCGCTGGAGTATTTCGCTTGTTTCGCTTTGGATGATGCATGAGAGGATGTAGCTTGATGAACTGGCTCTTAATTATGTTTTGGCAATGATTGTTATTGGTCCGGCCCAGACGCGTTTGTCATCTGAAGCTGATGCCGCACTTGCGACTAATCTTGGGCGTATGGATGTAGGCGATGGACAGCAGCAGCGGCACATCATTCTCGGAGAGCTGCAGCGGTGTCGTAATGTCGCCCAGGCGGCAGGGATCCGTTTCGAGCAGAAATGCAGCCAATGTTTCCGATTGCATGTAGATCTCCTGCAGCTTGGCCTCCAGAAAGGACAGGCACTGCAATTGCATATAAATTCTGATTAGCTTAAACCATTTATATGTCTACATTGAGAAGCACTTACGTCGTAGGCGGGTATGCCGCCGGCGTGCATGGCCTGGACAGTCTCGAGCATGCTGGAAACCAGCTGGGACATGCCCACCGGCGAGCTCTGACCGCCGGCATAGGGGAACTGCTGTGACTGTGATGAGATTAGGCGCACATCCCACTTATCCATGTCCGCCACAATGGCAATATTCTCCGCCGGCTGTGAGATAAGCGAGGCGGAACGTGCGGCCAGCGCCAGATCCTCGCGCAGATTCATTTCCCACTTAAAGGGCGGTGCACATGTGCCCTGCAAGAAATGTTTGCTAACCATGCATTTCGTTTTATTAAGTTTCGAGTTTGCCTCACCTGGAGCACCATGTCGGAGACGTAGTGATCGCTGACGCTCAGCATCAGCGATGGAATGAAACCGGCGCGCAGCTTGTCGCCGGGTGGCTCATCCTCCTGCGGCAGCTCCTTGATGCCCGGCACGGGCAGCTTCAGCATCTGCTGCGACTCATTGACAGCCGCACACTTGGCGGCCACCGATGAGACGGAGCTGCGCTGAGAGGGCACACGCTTCGCCTGGGCCCGTCGCGTATAGCTGGGCGTGGACGCCGGCTCCGGCATCGACTTCAGCGTATCGATGGAGGCAGCCGAGTTGACCGGCTGCAAGGCGCTGGAACTATTGCTGCTCTCGTTGTAGCAGTGCACCTCATCCGTCTCAAACTCCAGCTCGGTGGCATTGGAGGGCGTCTGGTATGTGGCTCCTCCGCTGAGCGCGCCTCCGCTGTTGCACACGATGCAACGTTCGCTGCCCACAGCCGCTGGCGAAATTGTGGAGCTGCTGCTGGCCGCCAGTTGCTGCTGCAGGGTGACGCTGCTGTCGCTGGACTTGAGGGATTCACTGGCCTCCAGCTTGCTGACCTTGTCCATCAGTAGATCGTAGTTGGACATAAGCAGATTCTTGCTCTTCATGTAGTTTGTCGCAATCTGCGGATATTGCTGAAAGTTGAACTTCATGCCCGAGTGCTTCTTGTTGGCCATGCTGGCGTCATGGGTGCGCTGGTGCAGGGCGCACAGCATTGAGGGCTTGGCGTCGTCGGTGAGATCCTCGTTGCTCTTCTTGAGATTTATCAGCGGCTCGTTGTCGCCCAGGACGAAAACAACGCCGTTGCCATTGTCCGCCGAGGTCTGACGGCAGATGCCGTGCTCCCGTTCGATGAGTTTCTGGCAGAGATCAAAGTGGATTTGCTCCTCGAGACTGACATTCTCCTTGATGGGCTCAATGCCCCACGTCATGCGATCGCTCTTGCCCATGCTGTTCTGTGTGATCAGATCCGAGAGCGACAAATGCGATACACGGCGATCCGCTCCCAGCTGCTCCAGCGACTCGTTGCCGGCGCACGGTGGGGGCTCGTTCTCCACGGAGTAACTGCTGCTGCGGCGCTCCAGCTTGCGATTTATGATCTTGACGCCCTGCTGCAGCTTGGCCAGATCGCTGAGACTGAAGCCCTCCTTGACTCCCGTCGTGGGCACAATGTTCCAGAAAAAGTTCTTCTTGCAGGGCAACGCGGGATTCTGCTCTGTTTCCGTTTCTGCTGTTGCATTTGTTCGGCTCTCATCGAACTCGAGGGCTTCGATGGCGCCGTCGTCAATGCTACCGCCGGTGCCGACGGAGCCGGCATTCGAGTCCTCCTCCATGCACAACTCTACGTTCTCCGGCGTGGTCACAGTCAAACGTATGCGCCCATCCTTGCCGGTGCGAAAGTACTTTTGGGCCTGGCGCGCCAGCAGCGTCTTCTTCTCGATGCCCGTGTCCATGAGGTAGTTGCCAATGCGCAGCTCCTGCTGCACAAAGTGCGAGTCGCGGAATGCCAGCACCGTGGGAATCTCATTTTTCTTCAGTGTGCCAAT